ATACAGGGCCTGGTTGCAGCTGGGCTCCAGCAGGAAAAGGAAGTTGTTCATCATCTTGTGTGCATTTCATTAACAATAGTGTACCCGATATGTAGCTTATACAATCATTTCAGATCACTGACAGAGAGCATTATGGTATTTGGCATTACTAGGGAAAATACTTCAGGATGGGCAAATTAAACGTGAGCGTGAGGTTTTTGTGTGACCTGGAGAAGTTAAAGAAGCTGATTTAACACTACATGGGCTAGTCTAGAAATATTTCCGTCTTCCTTCATCTTTGCCCCATTTCTTTCCCTTTGTCTATCGAGCCGACTGACGAAGCTCAGTGAGCATTAGTGAATAGGAATGAGTGAAAGCCCTTTTTTTGGAACAAGTAGGACAATGTAGATAAAATGATTGTTGTACTTAACACAGAATTTATGGTACAGAAAATTCACATAGGAATTAGATGCCAGATACCATTTGCCTGATCTTGTTGAGATACTAAATGACCTAAATTCCCAGAAACTCCATAGGAGTTGTAGAGGCTCAATATCTTATAGGAAGCATCTGGCTTGTCCCAACATTGGGCAGTCTTTCAATCTAGTTATTTTTGAAACACTTTTGAGTGACCACTCAATCACCTGGAACAACTCCAATGAGCAATTTTCATTTTTAATGTTCTTTCCCTTAAAGTATTCATTTGTAATTCTGTTTATTGGGCCGCCTCGTCATTTTTAAAAAATGGAAAATAAACATTGCCAAAAAACCCTTTTGATGACATGGGGTCCTCTTTCCCAGTGGATCGTGATAAAACTCCATTATGTGAACTTGGAGAAGCCACTCTTTCTTTTATATTAAAAAGGCACGACGTCTTCATGTTTTACTAAAGAGTTTCTAGACCTTCATCTTCAGTTTACCAGAAACAAGAAGTCTGATGGCTAAATAAAACTACTGTATTTGCACAAAAATAGTTGCACTTCTCACATTACAGACACAAAAATCATTCATCTTTGAAAGATTAGTTGAGGCCACTTGAAAAAAAAATCATTGCACTTATTTGCTGAGGTTCTAGAAATATAATTAATCATGGATTTGAAGCTAGTAGGAGAAACAAGCAAACATGAAAGAAAAACAGGATTCCCTTGTTGATTTTATGGTCAGGAAATTTTATTTTGTGTAAATTTCCCAAAAGCAATGGGAAATTAAAATTAAAGCAATATGTTTTATTACCTACAACATCATAAATGCCATCTACGTGAAGTAAGATCTACAATCCAGATGATTTTACTGATGAATCAAAAGTACTGTCACTTTATGGAAGACCTGTTTTAATAGTGCATTTACTATGTAACGTAATAAAATAGAATGGTTTTGGACATCTTTTATTGCGGAAAGGAATGTTTAAATTTTCTTTGCTACTTTTATGCTTCCAATATTATAATTTGTGTAACTGAACATACTGTCCAGTGAAATAATTCTATTTGACATTGTGGCATTTCTAGAGGCATCATTTACCCAGATGACAAAAGCAGAGTAACAAGCTCTCCTTTGTGCTGGCAGGGAGTGTTCATAGACATTTGCCTATCTGCTCTTCCTTGAGAAAAGTGATTTTTGTAAGGAGGGTGTCAATTCATTTGACATTGGGTTTCCCTTTGCTCTCCCATAGAATCATAGAATCATAGAATAATAGGACTGGAAGGGACCTCAAGAGGTCATCGAGTCCAGCCCCCCGCCCTCAAGGCAGGACCAAGCTCCACCTACACCATCCCTGACAGATGTCTATCTAACCTGTTCTTAAATATCTCCAGAGAGGGAGATTCCACCACCTCCCTTGGCAATTTATTCCAATATTTGACCACCCTGACAGTTAGGAATTTTTTCCTAATGTCCAATCTAAACCTCCCTTGCTGCACTTTAAGCCCATTACTCCTTGTCCTGTCCTCAGAAACGAAGAGGAACAAATTTTCTCCTTCCTCCTTGTGACACCCTTTTAGATATTTGAAAACCGCTATCATGTCCCCCCTTAATCTTCTTTTTTCCAAACTAAACAAGCCCAGTTCATGAAGCCTGGCTTCATAGGTCATGTTCTCTAGACCTTTAATCATTCTTGTCGCTCATCTGATGGTTATCTAATCTTCAAGGCTATGAACACTACCTTCGAGTAACATACTGCCACTGTAGCATCTGTAAGCTGCATTATCTTGCCTTGATCTTCTCAAAGGGGTGTGTGTGCAACCTGCAATGCCCATTTAATTATGTGCGGGGTCTGCCAATCCCTTGGAAGTGAAAGCTTTTTGTATCCTGGTAGGTTATATTTTATGAGAACTAGCTTGTTGCAAGTTCTGTCCCTCATGGGCTTGTGAAAGGATCCACAAGCAGGGATGTTCCGTGCAGTGATACCCTGAACTGTATGGATAGCACTTGGTTCTTCTGGACTGGCCTTTCTAACTCCACTTTCAGTGGGATGGATTCCCAGGAGAACTGGTGCTTCTCTGTGCTGTGCCTCACAAGAAACTCATCTGATGTACACCAACCTTGTGGAAAGCAACTCCTTTTCTGAGCCTCTGCCTCGTTGCCTGTTGTCATTATTCCCTGGGTTGTTTTACGATATACAATACCAGATGAAACATAGTTCAATTCAGTACTTTAAAGGCTCACTCTTATTATGGCCTGTCCGAGAGACCCAGTCCTAACCCTTGCCATCTTCTCCCATTTGTTCTCCTAGTTCTTATCTTGACTCTTCTCCTTCACAATACTAATTCTATATATCCCCTCCTCTGTCAGGCAGAGAAGACCCAGGGTGCTGTTTTCAGAACTATGAACACTATCTTCAGGTCACATAATGCTTCTGTAGCATCGACAACAGAGCAACCAACAAGAGGCTGGCTGATGCTCGAGTACCTTAAGTTATGACTAAGCCAGAAGGCACCGCTCTGATTTGTCTGAATTTTGAGCACCATGAAGAATCCTGGAGCTTTTAAAAGTGGGTTTTCAGTTCCAGTTTGCTAAACTATAGTCCTGTTTTGCCTTCTGGAAGTGCTTATGCTCCTGGGACTTCAGAACACTTGGGAATGAATGACTGAACAGCAGCTTTGGAAGTCCCCTGGCTGCTTGACTTCTGCTGATGGGTACCCACAGGGCTATTTGCTGTTGTTCCAAGCTTTTGAAAAATTGAACTGGATAGAGTAAGAAATAGGAAGAATGAACAGAGGCTTCCCAGGCTGGGTTCCCTGACTTCCATGAAGGGGATGAACCTAGGAGAAATTGTTCAACATTTCTGGATTCTTGAAATATGAAACTAATTGAGAGCTGGAACAAATCCATCCAAATTGTCTGTAAAAATAATTTCCCCTGACTAGTTATCCATCTAGTATCATTGCTTATACAGTTGTAAAAAACATTTAGCACTTTATAATCCAATCTTTGCTCCTATGAGGGCCTGGGAACATATTCTACTTACAAAATTTTGAAATGCCTAGAAAAGTAACAACTTTTACAAAGTGTTCCTTGTGGAAATCACCTGGAGTCTATCCAAGATGGCATTCCAGATGTTATGGCTTTAGCAGTTATAGAAATGCACTGTATTTCCAGATCCTATACATAGTATATTGCTTCTATGCGATAGCACTGTCATTCTGACCCAGGGATGAAATTATTGAATTACTGTTCATCTCTCGATATGGAAGATGGGATTTTTTGGAAGCATTCAATAGTGGCTTAACTCTGCTTTCACTAAAGTCAGTGAAAGACTTATGCTGATGTTAGCAGGAGCAGAGTTAGGCCAATACTGTGTGCTTTTGAAAATCCCACCCATAGTCTCCAGTCAATTATGTTTAGCCCGTGATTACCTGTGCTAAACCTCTTTTTGCACCATATTTGTTAAAGTATTAACTTATCTGTAAGCTGTTTAAGGCATGACCACTGTTTTCATACATCTGTAATGCCAAGAATGTTTGTGGTACTGCATTCACAATATATTCATTTTAAATACACACGAACCTCCATCCTCTGGGTGTCTCTGTTCTGAGAACACCCATGGCATGGATCCTGGCAAATGGAGGAGAAAGTGGCTCTGTGAACTGCTGCTTCTCCCGCCCCTCCAGTTGGGGGAATGGCAGTCTAGTGTCAAGCTTGCACTGAGGCTTTCCCCCACCACTCACGATCAGGTGCCACAACCCCCTCCCGGGCCTGGTAAATTCTTTAGACCCTCATACATTGTTTTCCAGATTTGTCGGATTAAAAAGGTTTAAGAACAAAAATACCTCATCCATGCTATAGCACTAACAAAAACACGCTTCTGAAAGGGCCAACTCTGGTATCCTTACTGATCTTAGTAAGTCAGTAACTACTAGGACTACAACCATGAGTTACAGTGGTCTGGCTTTGACCCATTATATCAAACACAGTGCTGTACCGCAATATAAGCAATCAATAAAATAAATCACTGCTAATGCCTGGATCCAAGAAATGGATACACAGATGGGGAACCACAAATAATCCTGCTGATATGCTGAGGCTTTAAGTGGGACATTACTGGTGCATGGGTCTTGTATTGGATCTCCTCAAGGAGGTGAATTGCACTCTAAGGCCTGGTCTACACTACAGAGGAAGGTTGAAGTAAGATACACAACTCCAGGGCCAGGGAGGCTGAGGATGCATGCTGCCCATTCTCCCCAGGCTCCTCGACCTGAAGGTGGGGCCGCGGGCTGCTCCTCCTCCCTGTGGTGCTGCTGGGGGGGGGGACACCTTGGCTTCCAGGCAGGGCTGGGGGCTTGCCTCCCTTTCATCCCCCAGCCCTGCCTTCATCTACTTCCCATGCTGAGAACTCTTCTTCCTGATCAGGTACCTGTTGCAGAATTTCTCATCTTTCAGGGTTACATATAGGAAGAAGAAGAACTCAAGAGGAAATTGTTATTTTTTTAAACATGATGTTTTACAGAGGGTGATGCCCTCTCTATAGCGAGTGCTGGGTTGAAATATTCAGCATTTACTGATGTACTGTCATTTATCTTTTCTAGGAAGACCATTGAGAAATACTAAAGGGAGTGTCCTGAAGAAAAGCTCAACATGAGAAGGTGCTATTTAACTTCTGCTACTAATGATAACTTATTACCTTCTGAAGATTTTTCATCTGATGTAGGTTTTGCTTATGAAAGCTCACAATACTATATATTTTTGTTACTCTCTAAAGGTACGTCTACACTGCACGCTTATTTCAGAATAAACTATTCTGGAAGAAATACTCCAAAATATTATTTTGAAATAGCACATCTACACTACAGGGAAGCCTCAAAATTAATCTGAAGCAGGCTTCCCTAATGTGGACATGCTACCTTGATTTAGAACTCCAGGAGGCACTGGAGAGTAATTATTTTGAATGGTCCTGGGGAGGAACTATTTCTAAATAGCAGCAGTGGAACATCCACACTACTACTATTTCAAAATAGATATTTTGGAATAGGTGTTATTCCTTGTGTAATGAAGTTTACAGAATAAGCCATCCATTATTTCGAATTTATTTCAAAATAATGGAATTGCTGTGTAGATGCTCGCGTTGTTACTTCGGAATAACGGCCATTATTCCGAAATAACACTGCTCTTAGTTCCTAAGGTGCCACAGGACTATGCTTTGTTTTTAAAGTTACCGACTAAAACTGCTCCCCCTCTGAGACAGCTCAAGTAAGATAACTCCTCTATGAGGACTTGTCACTAGGGAAGGATTTTCCTCAAGAATCTTTTTTTTTCTATAGGCCTTCTGTTCAACTCAATATTTCTCCAGAATGTCCTCTTGCCTCCTTTCTTTTCCATTTAAAAATGCAGATAATGTTCATCTACTCGGTAAGAAACAGTGCAGAACTTCATGCACATATTTTCAACATTGGCTTCCACAACACCTTGTTCAAGAGTGTTGGCAAATGTTAACTAACATGTGTATAGCTCTGAAAGCAATATTTGGCTTCTTGAATTACCTGTCCTAATTGGGCCAAAGTATGTTTTCATAGCGTGGTGCTGTTCCACCACCTTCAAAAACACAAACGTAGTGTTCCAAAGTTCTCAAACGTGCCCGTTTTGAGCAGGTTTCCCTTCTCCCCGCCTGCACCAAATTGAGTGAGGGATTTTATAGCTGTCAAAGAATGGAAAATTGTTTAAAGATTTTATTTTTCTCCTTACCCACCTTTTGTGCTTTCCCTTATCATAGCTATCACTGAAGAAGTTATTGATTATTTAATCAAGTTTAAACAAAATGTAGAGCAGGTCCTCTTCACTCCACAGTTTTCATATTGGCATAATTGTGAGATACAGAGTATGTCTAGACTACAGTGCTTTTCTGGGATGCCAGAGATATCCCAGAAAAGCTTTGCCATGTCCAAGGAATGCATCTGCTTTTCTGAAAAAAAAAATCAGAAAAGCAGACGCGTTTTTTCGACATCCCCGTAAACCTCCTTCTAAGAGGAAGAAGGGATGTTCTGAAAGAGGTTTTTCCCCCAATAATTTGCCCTGTGTATATGGGCCAAATGTCAGACAAGCCTATTTCGGAAGAAAAGCGGAAAAAGATACGCAAATTGTGGTTTGCAATTTGCATGTCTTTTTCTGACTTTTCTTTGTAGTGTAGACACAGCCACAGTGAATCCAACACTTAGACTTGAGAACTCACAATGCAAGTGGGAGTGCAATTTCTACACCAGCTTGACTAGAGTATTTCTTTGAACAGACCTTTAAGACGGGATAAAATTGCATGATGGAACTTAACTAGAAGGATTTAGGGAAGTGTATTAGATTTTAACCCTACCTGATGTGCCTGGAATTAATTATTGTGCCTCCCTGCAGTTCACTGTTTGATCATTGACTCCACTTACCATTAGGAATGTGTACTTGGTTGCACAAACACACACTACATTTTGATCATGTGTATTATATGTTAGGTTTCATAAAACTAGGTATGAGCTTTCTTTCTTTCTTTCTTTCTTTCTTTCTTTCTTTCTTTCTTTCTTTCTTTCTTTCTTTCTTTCTTTCTTTCTTTCTTTCTTTCTGTAGGGTGCTGAGATAAGAAAGAAACATAGCAGTGGAGATGCCAGCTTCAAATATGACTGTTCTCCAGAAAAAAAAGTGGAGGAGATCCAATCTGAAGATGAACTGTGGAATTCCCTTATCCATAAGCTAAGTGGAGTCTATTTGATTTTTAGGGCCAAGATTTTGTGCAGTTTTGCTAGTCTTTGCCAATCAATGTTGTCTTAGAATCATAGAACTGGAAGGGATAGGAACAAGCATCATTTAGACCCGTGTTCACCAATCAGTAGATCATGATCTACCGGTAGATCTTAGGGGCTCTAAGAGTAGCTCTTGAGCCCTCTCTGAACTGCACGCCTGCACAGTACATTTACATTAGATTTCCTCATTTGAGGAGCAGCTACTCACGAAGCAACAACACAGGTGAGTAGCTGCGAGGAATGGTGGAATCTGGGAGGTCGGGAGGGCTGAAACACCCCAGCCAGCTGACTGTGGCTTTCAGCTGAAAGAGGCTGCCCCATGCTCCAGCTGATTGGCAGCTTCTCCTCTGCGCCTGCCCACGTGGAGCTTGGTGCACCCTGGCTGAGCGCCATGGCCAGCTGGCCGGGCAGCCACTTCTCTTCCTTCCAGCCCAGCTGTCCTGTGCTCAACCCAGGGAGGCTGCGTCTAGCTCCACCTGTGCTGGAGCAAGCTTCCCAGGCTGAGCGCAGGATCACAATCTGATGGACTGTATACGACTAGCAATCTCAGACTACAACCCAGACTTCAAGACACTGGCAGATACTGTTCAGTCACAGGTGTCACACTGAGACTTTTTTATTGGAAGAAAAAATATATAATTATCAATACTTGATTTTAGATTTAGAAAATAGCAGAGAACAAAATGTATAATTGTAAATGCTTCATTTGACATTTAAATAGCATGAATTAAAAACAGACCATTTATTTCATAACTATAAATGTGATTTTATTTTTATATATTGCATAATTAAAAAATAAACTGTTTAAGAGAGTGTATAAGGGCTGGGGATAGTAAGTGATGGACAGGAGAATAGAGAGGGCGGGGCTTCAAGAAAGGGATGGGGCGGTAGATCTTCGCCTGTTCTAAGACTTAAAAAGTGATCTTGAGTGTAAAAAGGTTGGAGAGCCCTGATGTAGACCATACTTGACACTGGTTGGTCTAACCTACTCTTAAAAATCTCCATTGATGGAGATTCCACAACCTCCTTAAGAATTTATTTCAGTGCTTAACCACCCCAACAGTTAGGAAGTTTTTCCTGCTGTCCAATCTAAACCTCCCTTGCTGCAATTTAAACCCGTTGCATCTCGTTCTATCATCTGAGGTTAAGGAGAATATTTTTTCACCCTCTTCCTTGTAAGAACCTTTAGATACTTGAAAACTGTCATCATGTCCCCTCTCAGTCTTCTCTTTTCCAGACTAAACAAACCAAATTATTTCAGTCTTCCCTCAAAGATGCTACAGAAGTTTAAAGATACTGCAGTACTTCATTCCTTTTTAGTGGTGCCAATGAGCAGGAAATGAAATCTCAGGTTAAGCAGGGCACAGTTTAAATCAGTGGCTCCACAGTACTAACTTCAGCTTCCTAAATATGTGGGCTCTTTTTTTATGAGTATTTAGAGAATGTTTTTGGCTTGAATGATGAGGGCGTGAGCTAGAACATGGCTGCTCAACATATAAACACCCACAAACTCTTAATTTTGTCTGGGATTTAGAGCAAGTGTCAATCTTTTCCTAGATGACTTTCTCTGCTGTTGTTCTGACTACATCTAGGCTTGTCAGCAAGTGTTCTTGTGTTTCTTTTCCCAAGGATTTTCCTTCTGATCATGGATCAAGCCAGCCAGAGGGGATGAGCTAAGGGTAGCATCCCCCTTGAATTCTGGCTTGGCTGATAAGTACATGTGTCTGAGAACATCTTGGAACATTCTTGTGTGACAGGAGAAGCAAAGTAATGTCATCATCATGCCT